CTGGGTCACAGAGGGTGAAGGAATGGAGATCATCACAGGTAAATGTGTTGCTGTCATGGTGAAAGCTGCTGCCCAGCACTGGAGATGTGGCCTGAGCCAGCCCTGCCTTCTTGGCTGGAGGGAACTTCCACTTTTGCAAGGAAATACCACATCTGGTCAATCCCCAAGGAGCAGGGGTTCTGGCATCCATGCCAAAGCCCCAGGGGATTGGTGAGGGACCTGGAAGCAGCAGGACAACCTCGAAGAAGACATGAGCAGCACGTGGTTTGTGTCACCTGCTGCAAGCAGGTCTGCAAGTGCTCTGATCCCACTGGCTGGTGGTGATGAACAGAGCAGCACCCTGAGCCTCCCCAGGGGAGACAGAAACTATTTACCAGGCCAAATTATTCATCCTGGAGACAAACACCAGCAAGGAGAAAAAGAGGATGCAAACACACAACCCTTGGACTCTGGTGAAGGGAGAAAGGGACCAAGAGCAGAAGCAGCCCAGTGTTCCCATGGTGGAAGCAAACCCAAGTTTGCAGCCAGCTGCTGGAGAAACAGCTCCTGAGAACAGAAAATAAAAGAATAAGGACTAATAATAACATCCCATGTGGGATAACTGGGCTGTATTTCCAAGCCTCTGGCATATGGGACCCCTGTGAGACCAGAAAATGGGTGTAGAGAGATACCCAGTGAAGACCTGAGATTCCAAACAGACTGGCAGAGAGCAAAGAGGCAGCAGCAACCCCAGCACATCCCATCAAGCTGACTCTGAGAGGGAATAAACTTGCCACCAGTCCTGGAAATATTGCCTGGTTAACCCCAAATACTGTTTTTCTTTAATTCCAGAACATCTTGTCTCAGGCTCAGTGACAAAGAGGGCATTTGAGAGCACAATTAAAAAAAAACCCCACAGATTAATCCAAGAAATGGAAGGTATTTTGGTAACTCCTGCTCCAAGTCTGATTTATTTTCTAAAGGCAAACACCACCCAACAAAAAAACTGCCAAGATCTCACTCTTTTCTACTCAAAACAAGTGTCCTTTGATCATCCATGTGTTGCTCAAGTCCTGTTCTTAAGCCACTCAAGCAAATCTAGAAAAATTCCAGTCATTTACCTGCCTCCACTGAGCCCTAATTTGCATTTACCTACAAAAGGCTCAATGTGGCAAAACCACTGAGACTCAGGAGACTCTGGAATGAGTCCTTCACAGATGGAGGAGAAAGGGAATTGAAGAACTCTCTGTATGACAAACACCTGAGAAGCTCACCCTGACCCAGCACCATGTCCTGGAACCCAGGAACCAACCATGTCCTGGGCTGCATCCCCAGCAGTGTGACCAGCAGGGCCAGGGAGGGGATTGTCCCCTCTGAGATCCCCCCTGCAGGGCTGGGGCCAGGGCTGGGGTCCCCAACACAGGGAGGACATG